TGGAATTCAGTTTTTACCAATTTCCCCCTAATTGTTTTTTTTTTTAATTTCTTTTACTGGAATACTTTATGGCGTAAAGAGTTTGATTCAACGTGGGAGGGGAGATTTAAGGATCTCCGGTGATATTTTCCTCTCTGCGAGACCCCAAAAGACAAACCCTAACTCCTCATTTCGCAGCCCAGATTCATTCAACAAATCTTCATCGCCTAGGTACGCTTTTCTTCCTCTTTTATTCTCATCGCTCACGGAGACTTCGTCGGATCCGATGTTAATCCGTCATTGGTTCGCGATTAGATCACTGTTAGGGAATGTGATCTCCGATCTTTACGATTATTGTCCTCAATCTCCTTCATTGTTTTTGGCGGTTTATTGTTAGATTCATTCATCAATTTTTGTAGATTTGTAGTTTGTGTTTACGATTATTGTCTTCTGATTTATCTAGCTTGTGTGTGTTTTGCAGTGATATATAAAACCCTCGATTTGTGATTATGGCTGATTCACGACCTCATGCGTTTTCGATTAAACTGTGGCCACCGAGTTTACCTACAAGGCAAGCTCTCATTGAGCGCATAACGAACAATCTCTCTTCTAAGACCATTTTTACTGAGAAATACGGTAGCTTAACCACGGAGCAGGCTATGGAGAACGCCAAAAGGATCGAGGACGTTTCGTTTTCCACTGCAAACCAACAGTTTGAGAGGGAGCCTGATGGTGACGGCGGTTCAGCTGTACAGCTTTATGCCAAAGAATGCAGTAAACTTATCTTGCAAGTTCTCAAGAAAGGGCCTGTTGCTAAAGTTGAGACAAGAGAAACGGTTTCTGAAGAATCTGTAACTCCCCGTGAAACTGTTTTCGATATATCCAAAGGCAAACGTGCTTTCATTGAGGCCGAGGAAGCTGAGGAGCTTCTCAAACCTTTGAAGGAACCTGGGAATGCTTACACTAAGATATGCTTTAGCAATAGGAGTTTTGGCTTAGGAGCTGCTCGTGTCGCTGAGCCTATCTTGAAGTCTCTGAAAGGTCAGCTGAAAGAAGTTGACTTGTCGGATTTTGTTGCTGGAAGACCCGAGGTTGAAGCTCTTGATGTTATGAATATATTCTCGAATGCACTGGAAGGTAGTATTCTCTCATCTCTCAACTTATCAGACAATGCGTTGGGTGAGAAGGGCGTTAGAGCATTTGGGACACTCTTAAAATCTCTTAGCTCTTTGGAGGAGCTGTATTTGATGAATAATGGTATCTCTAAGGAAGCTGCACGAGCGGTGTCCGAGTTGATTCCTTCAACAGAGAAGTTGAGGGTCCTTCATTTTCATAATAACATGACAGGAGATGAAGGGGCGGTTTCAATTGCAGAGGTTGTCAAGCGTTCGCCACTGCTGGAGAATTTCTGGTGTTCATCCACAAGAGTCGGCTCAGAAGGAGGAATCGCTTTGTCAGAAGCACTTGAGAACTGTACTCATATAAAGAAACTTGATCTGCGGGATAATATGTTTGGCACAGAAGTCGGAGTTTCTCTGAGCAAAACTCTTTCAAGCTTCAAACATCTGACTGAGCTTTACTTGAGTTATCTAAATCTTGAGGATGAAGGTGCCATAGCCATAGTAAACGCTCTCAAGGAGTCTGGTACGCCCATTGATGTTCTAGAAATGGCAGGAAACGACATAACAGTTGAAGCTGCTTCGGCTATCGCGGCCTGTATAGCAGCAAAACAAGATCTGAACAAGTTGAATCTGTCTGAGAATGAGCTGAAAGATGAAGGATGTGTCCAGATTGCAAAGAGTATGGAAGAGGATCATTTGAAACTGCAATACATAGATATGAGCAACAATTACATAAGAAGAGCAGGAGCACGAGCCTTGGCTCATGTCGCTATCAAGAAAGAAAGTTTCAAGCTGTTGAACATTGACGGGAATATCATATCAGAGGAAGGGATTGAGGAAGTGAAAGAGATATTCAAGAAATCCCCAGAGTTACTTGGAGCTTTGGACGAGAACGATCCTGATGG